TAGGTGATAGTTATCACCAAAAGGTTTAGAGGAATTAAAAATTCCAACAATTGGTATCAGAGCCATAATCATACTGAATCATGAGGGAATTAAGTTTTGTGATTTTTATATAGGATGAATCGTGAAAAGTTTTGTTTTATTGTCTTTTAGCATAAAGTTTACTGTTTTTTGAACGTGGGTTCCATCTCATGTATTTTGTTTTAGCTATATAGTGTTATTTTTGTTCCCTAACGGTAATTTTTGGTTTTGGAACAAAAGTAACATTCTTTTGAAAATCTAGAATTCGCAGTTTAATAAGGGTTTATTATTTAAACTTTTGAATCTTCTTAAAGATGGAATGTTTGGAAAAAATTTGGCTTTATAATTAGGGTTTGTTGTTTGAATTGCAAATTTAAATGAACAATTCTCATAGAATGTTTTGGACTTATAGTTTGAAAAAAATCGAATGTTTAAGGTCTTTGGTTTTGGGATTTTTTTTTCTTAGATTTGATATTCTTTGTCAAAAGCCAAATTTAAATTTTTGGGTATTGCGTGCATCATTTTCAAGCTTTCATTTGAAAAGGCTTACATGTGCGTCGATTGTGCATTAATTGTTAAGCCTTATAATGAAAAGGTATTTATTGTGTGCATCATTTTCAAGCTTTCATTTGAAAAGGCTTACATGTGTGTTGATTGTGCATTAATTTTTAAGCCTTATAATGAAAAGGTATTTATTGTTATTGATATAATGATATAATGATACAATATGTATATATATATATATATATATATATATATATATATATATATATACACACACACATTGAGAATTGATAAAGAATAATTTTCTTTATTGTTGTTATTTTATTTTTAAATGTGTTTATTATCCCTAAAGGTTTCTATTTGAAATTGAATATGATAGATTTGTTAGCCGCCAAAGTGGCCAAATTTATAAAGGTTAATTTGATTTCAAATAAGTTGGTCATATAAATATATTTTATTTATGCAAATAATAATCGGCCTACAGGAAGGTTATTGTTTGGCCAAATAACATATGTTGTGTGATCATGTGTGTGTTTATTGCTTATGCGGATAGTGATCAGCCCACATGAAGGTTATTATTTGGCCAAGTAACAAACATACCTGTGGTAATAAATATGTGACAATTATCAAGAATTCTCCATGTAATTCATAGTCGACCCACAGGAAGGCTATGATTTGACAGGACTTATTGTCAATGTTTGATTACTACATTAAGAGTACCACTTACAAGTTGATATTTTGTCCACAGACTAAATATTAATGTTGTGCTAGGTATCTTATAATAAACTCATTTTACTTCAGATTATTTATATGTTATCTTTTTTGTTCTCTGTATAGTTTCTGCTACCGCCGTCAATTATGTTGCTCAAATGAATATGCTTCCAATGCTTAATGGGGCAAATTTCAAGCTGTGGAAAGAGAATGTGGAAATTGTTCTCGGCTGCATGGATCTCGACAATGCGCTAAGGACTGAGAAACTCACTTCCACTCAGGAAAATCCAAACACGGATAAAATTGAGAAGTGGGAACGCTCAAATCGCATGTGTCTGAAGATCATGAAACGTTGCGTTCCGGAGGCGTTTAGGGGCTCGATTGTTGAGACTACTGATGCCAAGTTGTTTCTGAAGGAACTCGAGCAATACTTTGCTCGAAATGAAAAGGCTAAAATTGGTCAAATCTTGTCCAAACTCATAAACATGAGGTATAAAGGAAAGGGAAACATAAGGGAGTACATTATGGAAATGTCTAATCTTGTTGGAAAACTAAAGGCATTAAAGTTAGAGCTGCCCTCTGAGTTGCTCATGTACTTAGTTATTATCTCTCTTCCTGCACAATACGGTCAATTTGTGGTGAGTTATAACACTCAAAAGGAAAAATGGACTCTTAATGAGCTCATTTCTCACTGCGTGCAAGAGGAAGAGAGGTTACAGCGAGAGAAGACTGATAGTGCTCACTTGACATCAACCTCTCAAGACAAGAAAAGAAAAAGAGCTAAGGATAATGCAGATGCTTAGCCAAAGAAGCAAAAGAAGCAGGACCAGGAATTCACCTGCTTCTTTTGTAAGAAATCTGGACACATGAAGAAAGAGTGTTCCAAATACAAGGCATGGCGCGAAAAGAAGGGTATTACTCTCGCTTTAGTTTGTTGGTACTGGTTCTGTGGCACAAGCATTTAGGTCATATCTCTAAACAGAGAATTCAGAGGCTTGTGACTGATGGAATTCTTGAACCCCTTGATCTGGATGATTTTGAGGTGTGCATTGAATGCATAAAGGGGAAACAGACAAACATAAGGAAAATAGATTCCAACAGAGCTTCAGACATCTTAAAATTGATTCATACGGATATTTTTGGACCATTTCCTATAGCCTCTTGGAATGGTCAACAATACTTTATCACATTCATAGACGACTATTCAAGATTTGGATACCTATATTTGATTAGAGAGAAGTCACAATCATTGGATGTGTTCAAAGAATTTAAAGCTGAAGTTGAACTTCAGTTAGACAAGAAAATTAAGGCCATTAGATCTGATCGTGGTGGTGAATACTATGGTAGATCTGATGGATCAGGTGAACAACGTCCAGGGCCCTTCGTGATCTTCCTAAAGGAGTGTGGAATCGTCCCGCAATACACAATGCCAGGTAAACCTAGCATTAATGGTGTTGCGGAAAGGCGAAACCGGACTCTTAAAGACATGGTGAGGAGTATGCTTAGTCATTCTTCATTGCCAGAATCACTTTGGGGAAAAGCACTAAAGACTGCAGTTTATATCCTTAATAGGGTTCCCAGCAAAGCAGTGACAAAAACCCCTTATGAGCTATGGAATGGAAAGAAACCTAGCATAAGGCATTTACACATTTGGGGTTATCCAGCAGAAGCAAGGCCTTATAGGCCAAATGAAAGAAAGTTGGACTCAAGAACAATCAGTTGCTATTTTGTTGGATATGCTGAATGCTCTCGGGGCTATAAGTTTTATAATCCCACTACAAGATCCTTTTTTTGAGACGGGAAATGCCAGATTCCTTGAGGATGTTGAGTTTGGGGGGGAAGATAAAATAAGGAATGTTGTCTTTGATGAGGAAAAAAGTTATATTTATCTTCCTAATATTGTCATCATTCAAGATGCAATTACGGAACAAACAATTAAAATGATCAGGTCCATGTTCATGACATTGTTATGGAACAGGCTTTGGTCCCTGACATTGCTTTGGATCAAGACAATAATGAACCACCCCCTATGCCACCTATAGAACAAACTCAACAAACTCAAGAAGTGTCATTAAGGAGATCCACTAGAGAAAGGAGAAATGCAATTCCGGATGATTATATTGTGTTTTTTCAAGAGCATGAAAATATTTTAAGCTTGAAGGAAGATGATCCAATCAACTTCCAACAAGTCTTAGAAAGCTCTAATGCTCATAAATGGATTGATGCCATGAAAGATGAGATGCAATCTATGAAAGACAACGACGTTTGGGATCTTATTGAGTTGCCTAAAGGTGCGAAACCCATTGGTTGTAAATGGATATTTAAAACCAAAAGGGATTCAAATGGAAACATCGAAAGATATAAGGCACGTCTAGTTGCTAAAGGTTTCACTCAGAAAGAAAGCATAGACTATAAAGAGACTTTCTCTCCGGTTTCTACGAAGGACTCTTTTAGGACAATAATGGCGCTTGTGGCTCATTTGGATTTGAAGCTACATCAGATGGACGTAAAGATAGTGTTTCTCAATGGTAACATTGATGAGACAATTTATATGGTGCAACTAGAAAACTTTGTATTAGGAGATTCAAAGTCTATGGTTTGCAAATTGAAAAAGTCCATCTATGGCCTTAAGCAAGCTTCTCGTCAATGGTACCACAAATTCCATCAGGTTATTATCTCCTATGGATTTGAGGTGAACTTAGTGGAAGATTGTGTGTATCACAAGTTCAGTGGGAGTAAATTCATATTCCTGATACTATATGTTGATGATATCTTACTTGCCAGTAGCGATATAGGCTTATTGCATGAAACCAAGAAACTTCTCACTATAAATTTTGAGATGAAGGACCTTGGTGATGCATCTTTTGTCTTAGGAATACAGATACTTCGAGATCGCGCTCAAGGTATCCTACGGTTATCACAAAAGGCCTACATTGAAAATATTTTGCATAGATTTGGCATGAAGGATTGTACGTCAGGAGATTCGCCCATATCTAGGGGAGACAAGTTTAGTCTCGCCCAATCCCCTAAAAGTAAGCTTGAGATGATAGAAATGACAAAGGTACCTTATGCTTCGGCAGTAGGAAGCCTTATGTATGCCCAGGTTTGTACTCGCCCTGTTATAGCATTTATAGTGGGAGTGTTAGGAAGATACTTGAGCAATCCAGGAATGGATCATTGGAAAACAGCCAAGACGGTTATGTGGTATTTAAAGAGAACAAAAGATTATATGCTTACATATCGGAGGTCAGATGAATTAGAGATCGTTGGATATACTGACTCTGATTTTGCTGGATGCCAAGATAGTAAAAGATCCACCTCAGGTTATGTCTACATGTTGGCTGGAAGAGCTATGTCTTGGAAGAGTGTTAAACAGACACTCGTAGCTTCCTCTACTATTGCCACTGAATTTGTAGCTTATTTTGAGGCATCCAACCATGGGGTATGGCTACAAAACTTTGTCACAGGGCTGCATATAGTAAGTGGTGTTGAAAGGTCACTGAAGATTTATTGTGACAACAGGTCAGCAGTGTTGTACTTCAACAACAACAGAAGCTCTTCAAAATCGAAGCACATCGATATAAAGTTTCTGGTTGTTAAAGAAAGATTTCAGAGTGGTCAGATTTCCATAGAACACATAGGGAAGAACTCCATGCTTGCGGATCCGCTTACTAAAGGCTTAGTGCCTAAGGTCTTTCACGAGCATACTGCTCATATGGTGTTGTTTTGTTTGATGACACTACGGTTTAGTGGGAGTTCTTTATATTGGTGTTCTATGTAAATAAATAAATGAAATATTCTTATGTTTGTTTTTTGCAGAATAAAGAATTCAATGATATTTTCCCTCTGAATGTATTATATTTTGTGCTTGTGTTTCTGTTTTGTGTATGCAGAAAATTTATGATTGATCTCATAAAGATTAAAGTATGACCAGTTGGAAATAGGCATGGTAAGATCACATTGCATGTAATTTCCATGCCACTCTTCCATACTTGATCTATGTCATTGAATATATTGGTGCGATGACCATGGAAGGTTTAGTTACGCTTTAAAGTGACAAAAGCCGCCATGATCTCATATTGATATAGGAGGTGGACCAGATTGTATCTAAGGAGGAATCTAAAGAAAAATAGCATACAGTTGCGCACTAAAGATATACTATATAATTATCTCAAGTTAATATGTGGCCCAAGTGGGAGATTGTTAGGAAATTATATTTTCTAATAATCATTGTGGTTTACATATTATATTAATAATTATTTTGTGCTATTTATATATATTGGGTAAATTAAAGTGATCAGTTAAATATTCTCAAATAGATTCCAAAGTGAGTATGGGTTGAATGAATGGATATCGGTGTTGGGCCAACTAGGTATAATGGGAGCGTATTGGCCCAACAATAAAGATAAAAACACTATAAGGGTTATGGTCCCCAAGACGTCAAATCGACAACCCTAGTTTCTCTTCCCCATCAAGAGAGAGACGACACACTAAGGAATTCGATTTTAGGGTGATTTGACTGAGGAAGACTATAAACCCCAAGAGACAAGATCAAAGTTATTCCGCTGCAATGGAGACAGGTATGCCTCCACCTTTATGTTCTTATTTCTTTATGATTTGGTATGATGGAGCTTGGCTTGTAGGTGATAGTTATCACCAAAAGGTTTAGAGGAATTAAAAATTCCAACACTTACTCTAACAAGTTTAGCCATTGACACTCAGATGATATTTCAATCTTGCTATCACGAGAAAAGAAAAAAGAAATTAAGAGAGAGAGAGAATATAACCATTGAGTCACTTAAGTTTTATGCATGCAAACTGTAGAGATCACCTGTAGTGGGTATATTGACACAACACGATTTCATGCCACAACATATATTGGGTTTGCATCCTTTGCTGGTAAAAAGCAGGTGGAAAAGATTAAAATTACAGAACCTTTTGGAATACTTTTGGGATATATGAGTAAGACTACCAAGCTTAAACTTCAACAGTAGCTTACGTATTCTTGTGATAGTTTTTTGTGGCATGTGAGCAACACTACCAAGCTTAATTATTCGTGTATTGTAGAAAGCATCCATATCCATGATACCAAAGTACAATTGATAGTTCTTTTTTCTTTTTTTTTGAATATATAAACCAATTTGGTTCTTTGAACCAAATTTTTTTTTCAACAGAACCGGTTCGAAAATGGTTCTAGTTCGGAACTGGTTCGAAACCCGTTCATAATTGGTTCAGGTCGAACCGGTTCAAACCAACCAATTTTGAACCAAACCGAACCAGTTCGATTTAAAAATAAAATGTTCGATTCAAAGAACCAAACCGGTTTGATTCAGTTCTGCAAAAAATCTGGCTCAGGTCGACCCATTCCCATTCCTATCACTAAGTATGGCCAACATGTTCAAATAAGCAGCTACTTGAAATATAACAAATTACGATAAAATCTAAGTCCAAATGAAGTAGCAGGTATGATTGTCATCTTTTGATTAGAAAAAGAAAGCAACAAATTTGGCATAATTTAAGATATAAGATTTGGGACGTGTTTTGAATGACTTAATTATATTTATTTATTTTTAGAAGGTAGTTATCGTTATATTTATTTTTAGGATTTTGAATTTGAATTTTGAATTAATTTGTAATTAGTCTATAAAAGGATGTTGAGAACTGGAGGGTTACTCTCTTATTGTATCCTAACTTTCTGTTTAGCCATTTTTTCTATGCACTTTCAACATCAGATTGAGATGAAACATTAGGGAAAAAAACATTTGCATGTAGGACATAATCCAATTTATAGGACAAGCATATGGTTGCCTTGGAGCATAGACTTTCGGATGAAGTTTTTTGAGAAAATATTGTCTTAGAACATAATCGTACATGATCAAACAAGGAAGCCAAAGTGTCAGATATACCCTGACATTGTTCGATGTTGCATTTGTTGACAAATAAAACGAGTATAGGTAAATGTTATGTTGGTTAAGCCACTTCATTGTTCTTCAAAAATAAAAATGAAAGATAAAGGACAAGAATAAAGAAAGAAGAAGAGAAGAGAATAAAGAATGAAAATGCAAGATGGTGGTTATTTTGTCCCTATTTAAAAAACAATTAGCCCCTGATGTGCCTCTGGCAAGTGTGGTTTTTTAATGTTAAAGTTGATAAGAATTGGGTCATAAGAGAGCAATTTAAATACATATTTGCTATTTATATTGATTCTTTCTATGTCAATAATATTCACCTTTTGGTTGTGTTTTTACAGGAAAAAGAGGAGTGAAAATTACAAATTATAAAAAGCCTGTTGACGCAACTCCACACGCACTGGCGCAAACTAGCGCCACCATGCCACCTTGCGCCAACTAAAGAAAAGTGGCGCCACCAAAGTGAAGCAAACCAGCGCCCAAATTGCAAGGAGATGGCGCCACTAGGCGCCCACTAATAGAGGAGAAGTGGCGCTAGTTGGCGCTCAAAATGTGAAGGATGGCGCCAACTGGCGCCGAGTCACGGGAATTGGTTCCGAATTGCAGCATACATTGGGCAGGAAGTTGGCGCAAACGTGCGCCAAACTGGCGCCAACTGGCGCCGGGTTGCGGGATAGAAGTATCGTGTTATCTCGGGGGTATTTTTGGAAGAAGGAAAATAGTCATATAAATAGGATCCTTTTGACAGAATTAGGGATCCAGACCTATTTCTTCAGAAGGAGACTGACGGCAAAGCTCAGGAGGATTCTTCTACAGTTCTTCTTCTTCTCTTTTCTTCTTAATTTTATGCTTTTGAATATTGAATTATTTTTAGCCATGATTATGCTTGGCTATTTTTCTTTTATTGTAGTTAGGGTCACAAACCCTATGTGAACCCTTGTTACGCGGATTGATTTATAATTGTTCATTTATATAATTATCTTTATCTCTACCTTGTTCGTATTTGATATTTTCTTTATTAGAATTGATCACTCTAATAGTTGATAATAGTCTGAGGGTTAGAACCCTAGATAGGGATATTGAGGTTTTCATCCTGAAAGGGGGTAGGATAATGGTTCGTATGCATGCTAGGAATAGATGTGTATTGAATTGCGGATGCCTAAATTATAGAGTTCATCGCTTAATTTTCATAAGGGATTGCTAAGGGATTAGGATTCCAATTGGGGATTAAAGGGTTAAATTGCCAAGGGATTGAGATTTAACTAATTATTTTAGATAATAATTTATCCGAGTAATTTTATAAATTAATATTGTAAATCAATCCAAAGTAAGAAGTGGGGACCATAAGGTGAGTGCGCTCTAGCTACAATACCTTTCTCATATTTTTTACAAATCAATTCTTATTGTCATTGTTTTATTTCTCTCATATAAAAATATAAAACAAGTCTTTATTCCATATTGTTACTAAAATTCAATTCACAACTTTTACAAACAACAAACCGAGTTTTCCAACTTAAGGGGACTGGTTATTGTAGTACTTGGTTTACAATCCCTGTGGAAACGATACTCTACTTACTTCTATATTACTTGTGCGATCGGTATACTTGCCGGAGAGCATCAGCCCCCTTCTCAAAGTATGTATCAATTTGTCTCTAATTGAACAAAGTAGTCCAATATTTACTCGAGTAAATTGGGTCACTTACTAGAGTAAATGATTTACTTGAGTAAGTGAACACAATTAGTCCAATAAATTCTAGCAGGGGGTTATGTTTTAAAACCCTCATTTGCTCGAGTAAGGCATAACTGTGCACCCTTGAATCTCTCTTCTCTTCAATCCAAAGTTTGGAATCATTTTCCAAATACTTGAAAAGATCCAAATTGTTTGTGAAGGTTGATTATCATCTCCAATCTATCATTTTTTCCACTGGATTGTTCTCATTTTGGGTGGATTTTTGTGTGAAAATCTCAATTTTTAACCCTAAACTCTTCTATTCAGATTTGAATCAAATTAGTTTATTTTTGGATCTTTTTATTATGATTGCTTGTATTTTGTGATTGGTTGAAGATTATTAGTGCTTCCTCATGGCTGATAGATGCTCATGAAAGCATCCCACTAATGAGAGGCATACCGAGAACATACATGATCGTGCCATTGGTTCATCCTCTACTTCGATTGATGTTAGGAATGTAGACATGATGTGCATTTATATGTTTTAGAATAGTCAATTTGAGAAAAAATAATTCATTTGGGATTTTCTTCCCCGGACTATAGTGGAGTCGATGTATTTGGATTCAACATTTTTCATAAGTGAAGGCTTCAATATTGCATTTCTATTAGACCGCATTCTCTTAAGGATGCTAGGATCCTTTTCTACATCATTAGTAACATTATTTTCCCACCATCTCATAATCAAGTAAAGATATTTGAGAGTGACTTCATTGTTATGTGGGCCATACATAGTAAATTGCAGGTCAACTGGAAGCATTATATTTGTTGCCTTATGTAACATACTGCTAGGAAGGTTGTGTTTTCATATATCATGATTGTTCAGGGGATCTTAGAGCACTTCCAGGTACCTATGGATGGTGAGACTTTGAAGACTATGAGAGGCTCGAACTATAGATTCGAGAAATATCTCTTAGAATATTGTGGAATCACCTAAGTTGGGAATGCGTAGCAATGGAGTATCATCCTGAACTTGAAGTAAATTTGATGAATAAGAGGGATGCAAATATAGAGGAGGTTGATGCTGGTGTTGGTGGTGCTTATCAAGAGATCTCTATACTTGATTTGGATCCATATGTTTCTACTATTGAGAATGAATATACTCTTCATGATGTACATCCATGCCATGACACAAGAGTTGAGGAGGATAAGGCATGAACATAATTCTAGATGGAGATTAGTGGACACTCACCTGATTGGATGTACAAATTGGATCCAGTGCTAAGAGGTTGCATATAAGGAGTTTGTTGCAGCTAAAGATGACAGATATGATGGTGGTGATGAGGAGGATGATGAGGAACACAACGATGATGATTATTATGATGATTAGACTCAATCGAAATAGTATAAGGTTTAAGTGTCTTGTTTTCATTTTGTTTATATTGCCTATGTATTTTATGATCTTGTCATGGATTGCTATATGTAATGTGGTAATTTTTTTATCAGTAGTAATGTTATGGATTTCAAATTTCAATTGCCTATGTTATTGCTATTTGTAAGAAGAACTTTAATAAGGAACTAAAAATGGTATTTTGATATGTTGAATTGAATGGAGATTATGTTGAGACATTTTGCACACACAAAGGCACATAGTGAGCCTAATTACATTATAAATCAAAATATAGCAAAAAGTTGAGTCAAAAAGGACTTGAGAACCTTATAAAACATTCAAATGATGGTTTGGGAGTTTGAAATGGGATAGGGACCACCTATATGTGTTTTGGACACACAAACACCCATCTGAGATCCATTTATATTAGGGGTGTTCGCGGTCTAGATTGGATCGATTTTGAAGCAAAAATCAACCATTTATAATCCCTTCGGTTTGATTAACATTTAATCATCCATTCAGTTTAGAATTTTTTTTAAAATCTGATCCAATCCAATCCATTTTTATTCGGTTTAGATTGGATCGAATTTTCAATTTTTTAAAAAGCCTAAAGTTTTAGCCATACAAATCACTAGCTATATCAAAATAAAGTCTTTCAAAGTTACAAACCACTGAAAAATTCAAGTCTTCAAACTAAAATAAGTCTTAAAACTTTTGAAGAGTTAAAATAGATTAATAGACAATAAAAAAACTAAAATAAAGATAGTGTCCTAACAATGACATCCAAGATTCCAAGCCTACAAAACAACAAGATTCCAAGTCATTATCTTTCAAAAATAATAAATACATAATACATCGAATCGATTTTCACCAACCAAATCAAAAATCGATCCAATCCAATGAAAATATGCAGGGGGTTTTTTGGTTTTTGATTTTCGGTTGATTCGGTTATTGGTTTTTCGATTCGACCACTGCAGTTTGGATCGATTGATGAACACACCTAATTTATATCACTGGAGAATTGAGAATAAAGATGATATCCCTTCATGTGACTAAAGAACTGTGTAACACGGACACGCTTTTTTTGGGGGAAATGCGTGTCCGACACGGACACGTTCGGACACGCGTCCGACATGCAGTCAACTTTTTGGGACACGTTGACTAGTGGGACACGCGAATTTGACCGAATCCGACACGCGGTCAACGTATGTGAACACGTTTTGGCATTTTTTTTTGTAAAATATAAATAAAATTACAATTAAAAAATACAAAATATTAAATAAAAATATAGAATGTCTGGAACCCTATCCTCTGATCCTCTCTCGCGCTAGAGGCTTTCTCTTCTTCGTTGTCGGTCGTCGTCTACATCTCCGGTCGTTGGTTGGTCGTCGTCTGCATCTCCGATAATAATATAGGCAGTGGAAGCGGAGATCAATATAACTCATCCTCCTGCTCAGCCCGCCAAGAAGCTCCTCATCAAGCTCCACAAAGGTACCCCATTCATTCTATAGTGCCTCTTTTCTTACTCTCTTCAGCTTCTGCGGATTTGAATTGTGTTAATGGTTTTTATATGTTAGGAATAGAATCAAACTTGGAACTTTTTTTATACTGATGGACTGATGGACTGATGGTTGCTTGCCCTAGCTATTTGAATTGATGGGGGTTTTTTGTTTATTTATTACAAATAAAAAGAAAAAGGACAGGGGGGTTATCCCCTGGAGTTTGAATGAAATAAATTACATACTTTACAAGAAGTTATAACCTTATAAGCCCTACCGCCACCACTTTATCAGACTCCAAAGTTTTCAGATTTTAATCATAAGAAAACCAAACAAGACAGACACCATTCAGTTTGTGATAAGGTATTTGGTAGCTTTGTCCCTTTGATTATCTCTTTTTTCTCCTCTTCTATTTTGTACTTTTGCTTCCTCTTTGTAATTTTTTTGCTTCATTTTTCTCCTCAATTTTATGACATGTTTGGTGATATTTGTGGAAGTACCTCTCAAACTATTTTTCAAGTTTTGTGAACTTCTGCACATGTCCTGTTGCTAGTGGAGGTACATGTTTCTTCATATGGACCTCACCATCATGGTTTCCCACATAAGAAAGCACAAGCTATTTGAATTTTGTTCAGATTCATTTTACATTTTTTGGAGTCAATGAGAGGAGCTAAGATCAAATTGGAATGTCATTTATCATTATTTAGTAACAAATTCTAGAGTTTTTAATTAAGGGAAATGAGTTTAGAAATGGCAGACTGTCTTAATTCTATGACCACTTTTGATCACATTAATAAAAGGTGATTATATTCATAATGCTGACATTTCTTGAACTTTACTAACAACTGCTAAATTTTTTATAACCATTGACTAATGAATCTTTTCATATGCATGACTTATTGGTATTATTACATTACCTTCTTCTTGCATTTACTTGCTTTAGTTATGAATTTCTGATCTTTACTTCTGAGCAGAACAAGGGTACAGTGTTGTACTCCCAGAGAAATTGCAGACAGGAAAATGGAACGTTTATAGGTATACCCCTTCCAAGATGGAGATGAAAATAATTGAACTGTGTATAATCATAAGTAAAATAATTTTTCTATTTTTCTACACTCTACACTCTTGGGATGTTCTATTATTTTTTCTTAATATTTATGTTATGAAATTTGAATGTTTAATTACTATATGAGTTATTATGAGTTGCTATATGTATTAAATGTAAATTATATTATATATATTAAAAATATTGTTTAATATCAAAACGTGTCCCAACGTGTCAAAATTTAGCATTTTTTAGAATTAACGTATCGGAATGTCGTGTCGTGTCGTGTCCCGTGCATCATAGCTAAAGAATACATGCTTATGTGTAAACGAATTGATTATTCGAAAGTGATGGGCTACTCTTATTCAAACTATGTTGATTGCATTGATTCACGATAATTGACTTCACGATATATCCGGTCAGTGGAGCTGTATCTCAAAAAAGGTCAAGTAAATTTTACTACTATCTCTATTGTGGATGGGGAGCTTCATCTAAGTTTAGAGGTATAGACTCAATTTCTAGGCTATTGAGGATAGATTGTGACAATTTAGTTGTTTTGGCTAACTAAATTGGTAATCGAATTAAGCACATCAACACTAAGGGCCCGTTTGGAGCACCTGATAAGGAAGATAGGATATGATAACTTATCATATCCTACTCTTATCTCTTGTTTGATGGGTCAATAGGATATGATTAGCTTATCCTATTGTCTCATTTTATCCTATCCAATGCATGATTTCTTATTCTATGGAGGGAGCTGAGTTAGGATTCAATAGGATAGGATATCAATATTAAATACCCAATAAATTCCCACGCTACCCAATATATCCCCACCTACCCAATATATTTGTATTTATTGCATTATATTTTCTTTTTTCTTTTTTCTTTCTCCTTCTACATAATCTTATCATATTGCTAATCAGGTGCTCATCAAACACATGATATGATATAGGCTTATCAGCCTCATATCATATCCTATCCTTATCAGCTCCATATCATATCCTACTCTTATCCTATTATATCCACCAAACGAGCCCTAAGTATTTAGTCTTAGGAGAATGTATTAAGAATGGAGCGATGATTATTGAACATATTAGGTATGAATTGATAATTATTAATCCTTTAGCTAAAGGCATATTGACACCATTGAAATTTAAAGATCATGTAGATAAAATAAGACTTGGCACTCGTATATGATTGATAAAACAATGATTATTGAATACATTAGCACTGAAGTAATAATTGTTGATCTTTTTTTTTATAAAAATAATTGTTGATCCTTTAACTAAAGGTATGCCACCATTGAAATTTAAAGATCATGTAGATAGAATAGGACTTGGTTATCAAATGTGATTTTCGTTGTAAGATCAGAGTTAGTTTTAATTAAAAACTCTTTTTCTCACTATTTTTCATTTCAATTTTGTATATATATATATTCATTTTGAGAAATATCATTAAAGTTTGAACTTAGAATAAATATATTATGATTATATATTAAGCAATTAATATGGGCTTAAGGGACACGAGCATTATAATACACAGAAGATAATAATCGCTTTTAGTGGACCTATCCTCATAATTTATGTTTTTTTTTCTCAATATACTATATGATGATATATGTGAACCAAGTGGAAGATTGTTTGATTTTTTTTCTTTAAGTCAAAAATTGTTTCACATATTAAGGTAGTACCCTACATTCAGTAATTAACTACTAATTTGAAATACACATGATCACCTTAATGATGAGTAGAGGTTATTAAAGGGCGTTTGGTAGGAAATTTTTTTTTATTGGAAAAAATGATTTCTGGAAATATGGTGGAAATTTTTTTACTAATGATAATATTTGGTTGATTGTAAAATATTGATGAGAATGTTAACCAACTTTATAAAAATAACCTTATTAGGTATTTTATTTTAATATTTCCCTCTCCCTTATCTTTCATCGTTTTATCAGCTCTTTCTTTCTCCCCATTTTCATTTGTTGTACCCAAATGCAAGCAGCGAGTATCACAAGGCAAATGCAAGCTTCAGTTCCATCGATTCTTCAGAGCAACGTTGTTTCC